CAAGGGCTACGAGGAGGAAGTGAGACAGAAGAGGCCATAATCATCGAGTCAGATGACGAGGAGGAGGAGGAAAGAACGGAGCCTCCGTCCGTCTTATTTGAGAAGATGAAGGACTTGCTGGATAAGATGGGGAGGTACCAACAGAAGTTGGTGGGTCTCTGTAAAGAAGTGAAAGGATGGAGGTCTAACATCCCCACAGTATTCCTCTATGACTCTGGCCCGGAGTTAGCGCCTGGGCGACCCGGAGTAAATGTGGTGGGGTCGTGCCCTCAACCAAGGATAAGGGGGAGACCCCTCACTCCGCAAGCCCGGCTGGCGCAGGCAGCGCGAACGAGGAATCAAACCAAGGCCAGTACCAGCCAAGAGCCTCTGAGGGGGGAACACGAACCAGGAAGGAGGAAGGAGGCTGTGGAAGTAGAGGACGACGATGACGAAGAGGAAGAGGACGAGAGACTGCGCAGAGAAGAGGATCAGAGAGCGGAGCAGCGGGCAAGGAAAAAGGGGATCAGGGGAGAGCCCGAACCGGTCATACAGGACGGACCGCCCAAAAAGAAGAAATACGCATTCCAGTTGGAAGGAGGATTTGACATAGAGAAGGTGATTGACCGGCTGCTGGAAGGGCATAATGACCTCATGACCCTGAAGGAAATCCTAGCGTCAGCCCCGCGACTCCGCGATGAACTGAAGGGGAGGTTATCACGGCGCGTGGTACCCAATGTCCACCTGGGTACGATCCTGCCCAAGGAGGCAGAGTGGGCAGAAGCAGGTACGAAGATGGACTGGAAATGCGTAGCCTGTGGTACGGTGGATTTGATGGTGAAGGGTTCCAAGTGCGCAGCAATGGTGGACACCGGGGCAGAGATGAACATTATTCGGGAGGCGGACGCGATCAGATTCGGGCTGGATATAGACCGTTCTGACTGCGGTATTCTGCATGGAGCCAACTGTAAGGCCATGTTTTGCGGGACAGCCTCGAATGTGCTCGTCGAGGTTGGAAAGGTGAAGGCCAGGGCATGCTTCTTCATAATGCCAGACGTGGACCATGGAATCCTTCTGGGAGGTCATTCCTAAGCAGGACAGAGACCGTGATGTTCAACAAACATGATGGGACGCTGATCCTCCTCTTATGTGATCCTGCCTGCGGGAATTATGAAATAATTACTTGTCGGAATACCGGGCCAAGGAGTATAAGGAACCGGCCCAATCCAGGATCATTCACAATCGAGGAGTTGAAAGGGGAGCGCAGAAGGCTCTGGGCAGAGCCCGAAGTAGGAGAGGGGGTGGAAGCATTTTCCCTCAACCTGTCAGATGTTGGGAAGGTCATGGACCTGGTGGTCGCGCATGAGATGGCAGATCCGGATGCCATCCATGCCTTGAGGGAACAAGTTCTGGAATGCCCTAAGGCAGGAAGGTTGGAACTGGTATATCGGCTCCCAAACAGTAAAGGGAACCCCGCATCAGCGCAAATACAATCTGTGAGTCGGCCTTTTTTAGGGGACGGCTCAAGCAGGGTTCCCAAAGGCGGTACAAGACGGTAGATAAGAAATGCCGCCCGGTACCCGTCCTCGTTACAGAGGACGAGGAAACATATTACGAGAGGGAATGAGGGTTGATTCGTCAAATGAGGGAAAGTGCTTTAGTAGGGCCATGTCGTATCAACGAAGGGAACGAGAAGGAGTTCATCATAGGGGAGTCTGATTTCCTGCTGCCTCAGGAGCGAACGCTGATGGTGGAATTAATGAAGAGGAAGCATTCCGCCTACGCGTTTAGTGACGAGGAGCGTGGCAGGCTGGATGTAGATAAGATACCTATGATCCGCATCCACACCGTACCACACGAGCCTTGGAACATGAGAGGGGCGCGGTATCCCAATCATGACGAGGAGAGGAAGGTGGTGGATTATCTCGACGGCAAGATACGTACTCACGTCGCCGACTATTCAAGTGGACCGTATGCATCCCCGTGGTTCTACTTTATTAAGTCTAACGGGACGCTGCGGTAGGTGCAGGATTTGCAGAGATTGAATGCAGTGACTGTGCGAGATGCTGGAGGACTGCCGAATGCAGACGCACTGTCAGAATCCTGTGCTGGAAGGCCTATAATTTCGCTTATAGACCTTTACTCAGGATACGATCAGTTCCCAGTCTACCCGTCGGATAGGCCGGTGACAGCTATGCACATACCGCGAGGATTAGTCCACATGAATGTGGCCCCACAAGGGTGGACCAACGCAGTAGCAATGGTCCAACGAGCCATGATTCGGGCCATGCAGTCAGTCAGCYCCCATATCACACAGCCATACATTGACGATTTGGCAGTGAAGGGGCCGGCGACGAAAGAGAGCGACGAAGTCTCACCAGGGGTAAGGCGCTTTGTCTGGAAGCACATTCAGGGCCTCGAAAAGGTCCTGAATCTGCTCGAAGAGCATAACCTCACGGCAAGCGGGTCCAAATCCAGACACTGCATGAGGGAAGCGACTATCTTGGGGATAGTCTGCAATGAGGAGGGCCGAAGACCGGATGTGAAGAAGACGGACAAGATTACTGAGTGGCCAGTTCCGTTCCACTCAATAACTGATGTCAGGAGCTTCCTTGGTACGTGTGGATTTTGGAGGGCCTTCGTCAAGAACTTTGCCGCTAAGACTGAACACCTGAGGAAGTTAGTCCGTCAGAATTAGGAATGGGTATGGGGTAAGGAATAAGAAGAGGTGGTAGCAAAAATGAAGGAGGAATTTCGAAAAGGAGGGTTGGTGTTAGGAGCGCCAAGTTATGACGCCACAGAGATGCGACCCTTCATTGTCGAAACATATGCGGGACCGACTGCCTTAGGGGGAGTTCTAATTCAGACAGACATGGAAGGGAAGGAAAGACCCTTGCGATTTGAGAGCCGGACTCTCTGTACGACGGAGAGAAACTACTCTCTGTTTAAGAGGGAGATCCTTGCTGTCCTCCATTGTCTGCGAATCTTTCGGAATTATATCTTTGGCAGGAGGTTTATTTTGAGAGTGGATCCGACCGCCCTGGCCTACTCTCTAAGGAATTACGTTCCATCGGATCCGACGATTGCCAGATGGCTGACGTACATCTGGATGTTCAATTTCGAATTGGAACGGATTCCTGGTAGTAAGAACCGGGCGGACGGGCTGAGTCGGATCAACTGGGATAAGCAGGAAGGGGAGGCGGTGGAGAATACGCCGCCAGTTGATGGATTTCTGGATCAGGAAGAAGATGTTCGTCTTCATATCAACAAATGGTCGCCGCGAGTGCCTAGCTGTGTAGGCTATCCTATCTGGCAAGCGTCGAAGGGGTATGAAAGGAGGAGTGAGTTAGTCCTTAAGCCCTTTAAAGAAGAGGATCCCTGGGGCGGTAAGGATGTTCAGTGGATGATGGAATTAGCGCTGGCCAGCTCGCATAGCCTGGTGGAGGATATGAGGACGATTGAGGAAGGACCTGGCCAGGTAAAATGGCATGAGGACTTGATGGGAGGAACGTATCTCCTCGTCAATACGTTATTGCAGGAAAGCCTAGACCAGTCAGGCTCGTTGAACCCGGCAGGGAATGTGGACGAAATACCCGAGAGCCAGGACGACGAGTTCGAAGAAGGGGAAATTAAGGAGGCTTTTCATGCAGAGGAGTACGACGGGATCTACCTAGAGCTGGGGCTTCTTCTGTCATGTGAAATGCGGCTAAGAAATGCGAGCGATAGGGCTCAAAGGATGCTGCAACGCTACTTAGTGCGAGACGGTCACCTTTTCGTGAGAAGGGAAGTGGGGAATCCCAGGAGGGTCGTCTGCGGTAGGAATCGTCAGATCGACGTCGTAACAGCACTACACGATGGCATTGCAGGAGGGCATCGAGGGGTACAAGCCACGTATGCCAAGATAAGTGAGTTGTACTTCTGGGATAGAATGATGAACATGGCGGAAAATTTTGTCGATCTTGCGTAGCCTGCCAGGAGAGATCCCGTTTAAGGCAGGGAGAGCCGCTGCATCCAAGGTTAGAGCGAGAGGTAGGGGTCGTAGTGCATCTCGATCTGCTTTTTATGCCACTTGGGGATCAGGGCTATAACTATATCTTCGATGCGCGCGATAACCTGTCTGGGTTCGTAGACGGGCGTGCTATTCACACAAAGACTGGGTCAGTCCTGGTGAGCTGCATCGAGGAGTACTACTTGCGTTATCCTTTCGTCAGGGAATTCGTAATGGACAGGGGATCAGAGTTTACCTGCCAGGAGGTGCAAGAACTGTTAGCAAGATATGGTGTGGCAGCCAACTACACCACGGCCGCGCACCCCCAGGCACAGGCTCCCGTAGAGAGACGACACAGTACCATTACGAACCTCCTGGCCAAATAGACCGAAGGTAAGCCTAATCAATGACCAAGATACCTAAGGGCGGCTTTCTTTGTAGAGAACATTACAGTAAAGAGATCCACCAAGTACGCATCTGCGACGCTGTGGTACGGAAGGCATGCCACCTTCCCTATCGAAAGCTTTCTTAAGACGTKGAGGCGCCGGGATCTGGAAGTCAACCTGTCATTTAAAGAGTTGCTCGATATTCGGGCGCGGCAGGTCGGGGCGATAGAAAAAAGGATCCACGAGGCATCTGATCAGGTGGGGAGAAGCCGTATGGATGATAAGGCCCGATGGGATTAGTCTGCGTGAGTGAGGAAAGTACCCTTGGCAGTCGGAGATGTCGTGCTTCTCTACGATACGTCGCTGGAGACGCAATGGTCCAGGAAGCTCGATAAGAGATGGTTAGGTCCCTACCGAATTGCATGGGTCGGAGACTTCGGAGCGTACCAAATCGAGGAGTTAAATGGGACTGAGTTGATTAGTAGATTGTGAGCTAGATTAGAAGTGGAGTGCGTGAAGCTATGGCGGAAGAGGAGATGGGGGGAGAAGAAGAAGGCGTTGTGTACTCGTTAGCGGACAGATTTTGGTGAAGAAGGAATCGATTCGGGGGTTTTGACGTGAGGCGAACCTAAATCTAAAGTTAGTTTTAGCTATAAGTTAGTGATTTCAGAGGTTAGTAGAGAAGAGCATCCGCGGAGCCGAGGAGATGGCAGGAACGAGGAGGAAGAAATGAGTAACTCGCCCGATATTCAATGACATCCAGCGAACCAGACCTCGTTTCTGGGGTTTGAGGGCAATGCGAATATGATGCCATCGATAGTTTTGCCGATGGGTCTGTGGTTTGGCCAAAGGTGACGCAAGAGCCCGCGCCCAGGAGGGAGACTCGATTTACGGGGGAGTGTATCTTTTCGTATTTTAGTGGAAGATTCATTCTGAGTTCTGTATGACCTATCGATGTAAGTAGAGGGAGGCCAGCTGCAGGGTCGGATACTTACCTGTTGGCCGATGCGTTGCTCAGCTGGTCCATGAAGACAGCAGGCACGGGCTGGGGAATCGACAGTGTATCTTTCCACCTTGTAGTGGAAGATTCATTCAATTTTGCCGGTCTCAGTAGCGGAAGAAGTATGAGGCGGGCTGGCGGGTTGGAGTCTTACTCACTGGCCGGCGCGTATCATCACAGGAGAGACCAATGAGGATTCCATTAGTAACAGCGAGCGAACTGTAAATGACCCAGATTTTTATCTATATCAGGCGGGAGCATGCGCGAGCACTTGCCATCAGTCCTCCCGTGGAACGCACCCAACCACGTAGGAGGTCAGATACATGGCCAAAGGGACTCGCCATCGACTCAGTGGCTGAGGGGACAGGGGTCAAAAGGGGGGGGGAGAATGCGTACCTCATAATCGTGCTGCCATCTGTATTGTGCTGGAGGTGTGCCTATTTCTATAACGCAGGCACTTTTGAGCAAGTAGGAATATAGGCATGTATATTCCTATGCTCTTGGGGAAGGTTCCTTCTCATTTTGCACATTGTCAGGCTGCACAGATGTTGCATATGTGAAGCTGTTGAATCACAGAGAGAGTTCGAATCCGGCGGTGATGAGGTGGGGGTACGTACCGGGTCCTAGTGATGGTCTACAAGGTCGGCATCGTCATGCATTGCGGTGTTGCTACTGATGCTGACAGGATGTATGGCCGACTTACAGGCAGTTAGTAGCTGCAATAGTAGCCTGGACGATGGACGCCAAGTAGGGAGAAAAGGCTGTGAGGTTGTAGACTTACCTGAATGTGTCATATTGGAACGAGGCTGCAAAAACTGCAGAACTAGTAGTTGGTCAGTGCACTGCTCAATCCCATCAGGAGGAGGCAGGCGCGAGCAAGCAGCAGGGTGCAATTCACACGAGTCGATATGCCTCGCTGGAGTATAGTGCGGCAGCGTGTTGAGTTTTGCACCACCATACCTTCTCTTTACTCCGAATGCACCCGGCGCCCCCCCGCGTCCGGGTTCATTCCCACTTCTTCCCGACTAACACCGCCCCGCGCCACTCCCCCTCCGTGGCTGACTGCACAACGCCTGGCCCACAGATCCTGCTGCTAACGCAGCTCCCCACAGCCTTAGCGCTCCGAAGTGGACACCGCAACGCTGCCGAACGATACAGGCAGTAGACGGCGGTAGGAAAGGAGGTCSGATGGAGAAGTATACAATARCTCTCCTGTCGGMTCAACCAGTCTCRTAGTTTCCGCAGAATCTTCGRAAGGAACCAGCCACTAGACGGTTCGATTAKTCTTTCACCCTTATACCCGAGTCCGACGAACGATTTGCACGTCCGTGTGCTGCTGGCCTCCCCCTCGCCGGCCCTGCCGTAGCATCCCGCCTCCTGATTACGGTCGGGAGGCCCGCTATAGGCCTATGTGTGGGCCTTGGTGAACTGGGCCCAGTACGACCCCGGCGGCAGTCGCAAATATTCAAACGAGAATTTTGAAGACTGAAATAAAGGGAGCTCCCCCACGATCCGCAACTTGCCGTGGTACCGATAAGCCAGTCATAGTCCACCAACTCGCGGGCCCCGACGGGCACGCTCACACCCAAGCCTCCCACAACAAGCGACAGGCGGCGGTGTTCCTGCGAAAACACCCACGCCATCCAGTTTTCCTCCGCCTCGTGGGCTAGTCACCTACCGGCTTGCACGCACGCTGAGCTCCTTTGCTCCGCGTTCCGCACACGTCACCTCGTCCCAATGCCAAACGAGGCGCGGCTCCGGCACAGCCACGAAACCAATTTGTAATTGCACTTCCGGCAACCCCCGCGAATACAACATATCCTCACGCGACCCTGCATCAGGTCCGATATCGCGTCCCAGAACGGGACGCGAGTAAAACAAACAAAATAAAAAGGAGGCTAAACAAAAATGAAATAATAAAACTAAAATGGGAAACTTCTTCGCGGGCAGCCCTACGAATCGGCCCCCTTCTGCCGCGCTCGTAAACAAAAAAAAACGAAGAGGGATAGCCCCGTCGAGCCCTCCACCTCTCCAGTTTTTTCCACGTTGCTCCGCTGCAATTGCTGTGTCGGCGCCCGCCGACCTCGATCCCCAAACCTTCGTAGTGTCAGTCCAATGCCGTAACCTATAGGGCTAAGCCCAAGCCTGAGACCAGCGCCTGCAGAGTACCATACAAGACGGTGCGGCGCGGCGCTTTGGGCCAGCAAAACGGCTGCGCGGCGCTTTGGACCAGCTCCGGCTTGCCTATACCATGCCATAATTGCCCCGCGCGCCATCCCACGACATCCCGCTCACCGCACGAAATCGCGCCGTTATAGTCGATGCCGTCATCGGGGTCGTTCTCCGCACGCATGCTCAACTTGGTCAAACATAACCATCGGAAAGAAGTATCCCCTAAAACCTAGTTTAATCAAGAATAAACAAAAGAGTAAAGTTACAAATAGAAACAAATCGACCGGCGTCCGCGCCGACTCTGTAATCAATGCTAGAAACACAATCACGCGCACCTCCAACCTGCGCGCCCACGCACTCTTTACTCTAGTCAGCCATCCTGTCAACGTAATCACAGACACTGCCGCGCCTAGCGTGGCATACTTAAACTTTAAACTAAAACTATTTTCTGTCACCAGCAAAAAACCAGGGCGGATACCCTTGTAAGGGTATTCGCACCGACAGCCTTACCGGACCATATTAAGCGACGTCCCCGTCGCTTCGCCAAATCTGAAAGCTATAAATCCATTCACTCTCCAAATGCTGACGAAAGAAGTTAGCCAATCCGATTAGCCGACAAACACAGGGTAGAGGCCTCCATCAAACCATGCCTTCACAACTATATGCTGCCAGGTTTCTAATCTGGGCCTCATACCGTCCAGAAATTAGGATACTGGCAGCATAAGTTTCAAAGACCTTCCCAATCGTCCTCTCCCCGGTCCTAGACAACCTTCGGCTTCTCGTTGGGTATCCCTAGTCCTAGCAAAAACTAGGGACGCGGGCCTTAACCGAAACCTTTGAAGGCACTCTCGCCTTCCTTCTCAAAATTTCTCGCAATCAAATATATATAAGTATATATGTAAACTTAATATCCACTCCGCTCTTTCTGCAGTCTAGTACAAAAAGGCCAGGTCTCCATCTTGGCCCACCATAGCCTGGTTGATCGGACCAGGACTACGGCCTACCGCATTGTTATTTAACGGCAGTACCCTTGTTGGTTACGCAACGATAGGGTCTCTCCTGATAGGCACTCAATCAGGACCTCCCAAAATTTCAACTTTCACTATCCCACGGAGTAATTTCCCTGGGGCGGGTAACTCCCCTTAAATTCTTACCTCGTGGTCCCGCAACCAGGTTGCGCCGGTTAGCAGCCATCCAATGGGGTTACGCCCTAGAGGTACTAACTTCTTTTCCGTTAGCTTGACCTTTCTTCAATATGTCTCAGAATTAGCACTAGTGGTTAAACGGGTGCGTCAAAACAAAATCACAAACCCACTGCGCGATACGCAGGGGTCCGTAGGCATTTACCAGCCCTCCTTCAATAGGCATGGCCTCCTTCGCACGCTTACAAGCAAAATCATCGCTAAATCCATCAGGCCGTGACCCCTGACTTGATCAGAGTCAGCAGCCACCCACCCTGAGACATCTCTCGCCCTGTACTCATTGCGACTTTCTCAAATATTTCAAACAAAAAGTGGCCCCTTTCCGTCAGACTTTATCACCCAGCGAACAACTCATCATGCCATAAATCAATTTACTCACTTATGAGGATAAGTCTTCCAACCAAAAACCACTCTCCTTTTCCAACAATCCAAAAGGGACTCTCTTCATAAACAAAACACCCCCTCTTCCAAAAATTGTGAGGGGTCTCACCATAAAACAATACATTCCCTCTTCGAGAAATCACGAGGGTCTCATCATAAACAAAACACCCCCTCTCTCAAAATCACGAGGGGTTTCATTACATAACAAAACATCACAAAACATTCTCTCTTTTCGAAAATCTAAGGGGGTCTCATCATAAAGCAGAACATCACTGAGAGACCATCTTATGGGTCCTCATCACAACTTAGATAACTTTCACAGATGGACTGCGCTTCCTCCCCTTATACTCTGCCTTATCAGCTGCCGTGGGCAGGTCGCACAAGTATACCGAGGAGTAGACAGTTTTACTTACAATTATATTCACAATACCCAAGATACATAAAAGGTTTTTCACACATTATCCACACAAACTCATCATGCATCAGAGTACAACCACACATGTGAGAAAGACTAGTGATCGTCACATATAAGAATGGTCCCTGAAGGAAACCTCATCATAATATATACTCAGGGAATACAATGTCTCATACAGAAAGTGTCTCCAAATCATAGCTTGCTC